GAAACAAACAATAATAATAATAATAATAATAATAATAATAATAATAATTTTAATTTGACTTTACTTGCTCAATTATCTGAATTGGTTTGTATAAAATAAAAATGAAATTTGTTAAAATAATAAATATAAATGTTTAGAATTCAGCTAGTGATCAAGTATATAAACGAGTACTTAATTCCGATGATCATAATCGATCAAAACCAGTTAAAATATTAAGAAAATCAACAGATTTAACTTGTACTATTTGTGGTGATCGTGCTGTTGGATTTAATTATGATGCTCTTTCCTGTGCTTCATGTAAAGCTTTTTTTCGTCGTAATGCTCATCAATCTTTGGTTAGTTTTTTATTATTTATTTACTTTTATTAATCAATATTTATGATAGATTATTATAAAAAAATATTAACTTTTCTATTTTCTATATGTTTTAAGAATCTGTTCTTTGATAAATAATATTTTATTTTAATATATTATATTTATTAACTTTTAAAATTTATTGAATATTTAATATAAGTAGTTTATAAGATAAATATATTTCAATCGTGATTTGAAATTATTTAATGATAAATCTTAATAAGAAAATTGTGAAACAATGTTTAATTCTATAGTGAACATAAATAATTATGATTAAAAGAATAAATATTCAAAATGATATAGTTTATCAATGATCGAAAAATCAATAGCTATCGAAGTGGTTTAATATTCTTCTAAGATAATAAATAAACAAAATATTGATCAAATTTCATATGTATTTAGGAGTTTAGTTGAGAAAATTTGAAATATGTTATTAAAAATAATTAGTTATGATATTATAGTTCAAAATGATATTTATGTTAATAATAAGAATTTGTTTTTGTTTTTTTTTAGGAAAAATTATCATGTTTGACGGGTCAAGGTCAATGTTCAATAACATACGAAATACGTCGTAAATGTCAACGATGTCGATTAAATCGATGTTTTTCTATGGGAATGAGAAAAGATTTTATTCTTAGTGATCAAGAAAAAGAACGAAGAAAAAAACGTCTTGAAGAAAATCGAAATATATCATCAAAACGTTCATCAACATCTGACACGAAAAATTCATTATCTTCAAATAATATTTTATCAAATTCTCAATATTTTTCCCAAACATTTGATGAAATTGATCAAGTAAGTTTATTATTGTTGATTAATAAAAATGTTCAATTAATTAAATTAATAAATATTATTTATAGTTATTAATGGATATGGATACAGATAAATTTGATAATAATATTTTTATTAATGAAAATATTAATTTAAATAATATAAAAGAAGAATCATTAGATAAATTATCTTTTCAAGATGAATTAATTATTGAAAATATTCAATCATCATTTTTATCATATTTTAAAAATGAAGAAATAAAATGTTTTCCAATTGATGCAACTGATTGTACTACGGCTCTTATATCTTGGTCACAATCAGCCAATGAAATAGCCTTACGTTTTATTAGTTTTTTTCGTCAAATAGATGAATTTGAAAGTTTACATAATGATGATCGATTTATTCTTATTAAATATAATCTTCTTCCTCTTTTTCCAATATTCAAATGTTTTATATATAAACCAATAAATAATTCTTGTTTAAATGAAGAAAATGAAAAAATTGAAAAAAATCCTCAATTATTTATCTTATCTAATCAAACAAATGAAATTCGTCGTACATTTATAAATGTTGTACTTTCACTTGTTAATATAACTGAACAAGATCCATCATTATTATCTCTTTTATTATTAATTCTCATTTTTTCTCAAGGTTTATCAATGAATGAAAATGAACCAACATTAAAAGATTCATTAGCTGTTAATCGAGCTCAAAATTATTATACAAAATTACTTTGGAAATATTCAATTAATAAATGGGGTGAAATACAAACTTACAAAAATATAACTCAATTACTTACAGTTATATTTCGACTTCAATCAGCAACGAAAAAAATGAGAGAATTTTTTTCTTCTCAATATATAACATCAAACACTGTTGATAAAATTGCACCACTTATGCAAACTGTTCTACATATATCTTAATTTCATTTTTAATTTATTCATTTATTGAAGAAATTTTTTGTAAATTAACTTTATTTATTTTATTATTTTATATTTATTAAAATAAAATTTAGATTCATTTTTAAATTTCAAATATTTTTTATATTATATTATTTTACTTTATTTATACAAATTAAGACAAGTCATTTTGTTTTTCTTAATAATAATATTTTATAAATTTTTAATATTTATTAATAATTAACACTTTATATTCAGATAAGATTTCAATCAAATTTATTATCTTATGCAATAAACAATTTTAATCTATATTGACAAACAAAAATTAGAAAGAAAAATAATTTATTATATTAATCAATGCCCAATTATTTTAACTGACATTCGAGAATTAGATTATTCTCTTTAATAGAATTTTAATTTCACTTTAAAATATTAAAATTAGTATTAACAAATATGTCATAAATAATGGCATAATTCATAAAACTGCACTTAATCTCTTCAAACAATTTCCTATTCTATTATCTAGATAATCAAATGACAGATTTATATCTAACCTTATTACTACTGGTCACAACGATTGAACAAAACTCAATTTCTCGAATATTTATCCATTTTAAACATATAATAACTTGTATTTGAAGTTTCGTTGATTGCATCTTAAATTTTTCATGGAATATTTATTTTTTTCGTCTCGAATTCTTTAAGAATCAATTATTTCATTATACGTGTATATCGATATTTCGAAGGATCGACTTTTATTATGAAAGTTTTCGATGAATATTACTTTGAGTAAATATTATTAAAAATTGGAGAAATTTGATGAAAATTTAAGCTTATGTTTAGTGAGAGTATTGTTTTCAACATGAAAATCTGGATAAGGTTATAATTAAATAGGAATAGTGCCATTATTTATGACTTACTAATTGTTGAAATAGAAATATTCTGAAATAATAAATCTACAATAAAGCAAAATGTTAACTAGCGTTGTAATGCAGAATGTGTCAATCAATGAAAGAATTCTATTTTCTAATGTCAACAACGGAATTAATTACTAGAAAAAAAAAAAAATTTTTAATATTGGCATAAAATAAACTTGAATCTCTTTAGATAATAATGTTAATCATCGATAGGGTGATAGATTATTCATTAAATAATGGTCTTTAAAGAATTTAAGAATAAAGATTTTGTTTTTAATTATATATTTATTGTTTCATGATAAATATTTTTTACCAATAAAATATAAGATTGCTCTAAGTGATATTTACAATGTTTTTTTGTGAAATAGAACTTAATATTGAAAAAAAAAAACAGTCGATTATTTTCAAATTGATATAACAATTAAAAACTAAACGATAGAATATAAGATTATTCAAATGGAAGAGAATTATCTTTTTATTCTTTTTTTTTTCATATTTTAAATCATGATTATTAATGGATAAATGATCATTTTGAAAATAATTGATAATTAAACTAAAATTACAATGAATAATTGAAAAATCTTCCTATATTATTTCTTCAATATAATCAATTCTAATCAAGATTGATCAATTATTTATGAAGATTTATAATAATGTTGAATTTTAATTGTTAATAAACAAAGAATACAAATAACAAGTCTCAAATCTGACTACTATTCCATGGTCCGATCAAGGTTGTATCAAGGAAAAGATCGTTAATGCCTAACGCTCAAACAAAATATAAGTCCAGGAAGATCCACCTACTCCATACCCACTTCGTATATTTGATGATACGTCATATATAGAGAGTAGAACGAAAGAATTCAGTGGCGAAATAAAATAGAAAAAGTTCTTTTGATGATCTACGGAATATCTTGAATGAATACGAACACGATTTATATTTCTTGAGATGAAATTATTCACGAGTTCTTGAAAAAAATAAATAAGATTTCATAATGAATGACATTATTCTAATTCAATTTGTTTGATCTTATAAATTTGATCTTCCTTCTTCAACTCTGCATAACATTGTTATTTTACTTGAAAAACAGTAAACGGTACAATAATCACTTATTTTTCATCTCCGATATGACTTAGTTTTTCAATGAAAAGACTTGATCCTGGATTAATAACTTTAAAGATACACATAACTGATAGATGAATTTCATTATTAGTACAATCAATAAATAGTTTAGCAATAGATCGATCTTTCGATGTAGAAAGAAATGAACGAGTTAAAACAATATTTCCTTTATTGTATTCTTCAAGATCTTTCTTTATAATCTTCATTTCACGAAACGTAGTACTAGAATAGTGATATCGATTAAATCGAGGATGATTAATAACAATCGAAGTAAATATATACTGACCAAGACCTTGTGATGGTTCATTGTCGACATAATCTAAATTGATCAAAGATTGAATATTAACAAAATGAAAATTGGAACCTAATTCAGCTAAATCATCATTTAATAAATAATGAAATTGAACTCTCGGATTGGTGTATCTCATTAATTATACAGAACACAATTAAATGCAAATTTCATTTTCAAGAGATAAAAATACGTCTAGGATTTGTGGGCATTTCTAGACGATAAACAATTACAAGTCGATGATTCTTGGCCTTTATTCGCAATTTAATTCAGATATTATTTAGTTTTTACGTATTCGAAACGGAAATAGTCGAAATAGTTTCGTAATATAAAACGTTGTGTACCGAGCAAACATGGTTTCTATCAAAATCCAGAACTCAACTTATACTACACACACAAAATTAACATAGACAGCCAATAAGTAAATATCATTGATTAAATAAAAACAGTGTGATACATTAAGATAAATAAAAACAATGATGGCAAGAGTGAGAGAAGAGAGAGGCATAATGACGAACGATACTGCCAGATGAAAGATGTCAGTTCATACAAATAGATTTACTAAAAAAAGGGGAACATTTTGACATTGCCTTTCATCGAAACTTAAAATGAAAATTTTCACTGGGCTTCAAAATGGGCAACATGTTCGTCAAAATGGCTGATATCACAATTATTCAAACAAGATACTTGTACATTAATATCTCTCGCAGATGTTTATAATTCGCTTATGAGCGTTGAAATTAATTGAAATGAACGATAATGATCAATTGTTTTTCTTCCATTGTTACAAAATTTAACTCAGGTCATACAAGCACGCTAGTCAATTGTCGTATTACATAGTTCTGTATTGCATACTGAAAAATACAAAGCGTTTATGGCAAAATACGGAGTAAAACATAAGTTATATAATTTGACCGAGAAAATCTTTTACTTCGAGAATTTGACGTCAAAAATAAGTTTCTATTAATTAAAATTTGTATATTGTAGAAGAGAATAGTAGCTTTACAAAACTATCTTACGTAGTGTCTCCTAACGTTTTCATCAGCCAACAGGTGAAAACATTCATTATGACCAAATATAAAATTATTTTGACGATATCTATTCGCCATAAATAAATGTTCACATTTCTGTGAAAAAAAGAAAACATTTGGAAGTATGAAGAAAAAAAAAGTCATGAAAAATGTCCAACAAGATGCAATATATAGGTTACCAGCTTTTTTTATTCTTTTCTTAGGCAAACATGTTTCAAGCTCAAGTTTTTATCAATAAAAAAAACAACATTTTTCTGTTCTTTTTTTTCTTATAGTTAACAGTGATGCAATGATGATGTTATTCTCTTGCGTTCTCTTATGTAATAAACAAAAATGTTCTCAAGATACACGTAGAAAAAACTTCCGATCACGTCACTACTTGCACACCTTTTACATTCTTTTTTATTATTTCTTATTAATGCTATAGTGACGTGAGGGAACTATAACAGAAAATTTTTTTTAAAATTTATATTCTATTGTGTTACTCGAATTTAAAATGATTCCACGTATGTTTGATGTTATCAAAGAACCTCAAACGGTTCTGTCGGCTATTGACGGCTACCAAAACTGCCCTATTTTACCTTTGGAAATAGCTGTTAAACCTCTTATTCGATTTTTTGAAGATGGCACCCTTGAACGTAATGTTTGGATTGTAAAAGAACGATGTAAAAATCCATCAAATTATTTAACTGTTGATGAGTCTGCATCAATTATGTTATATACATTCAATTGGGATTCCAATGAGAAAAGTCTTTATTACTTATTAAATGAAACATTACGGATGGAAAAAAGAGAAAAACTTGAGCCTTGGCATAGTTATTTAAAACTTCTTCTTACTGCTCTTAATCGTCTCCCGCCCACAAAAGAAACAATCTTTCGTGGTGTCAAACTTGATATTTCATCACAATATGTCGTAGGTCAACGGCAGTTCTGGTGGGGTTTTTCATCATGCACAGATTCAATGGATTTATTACAATCGACACAGTTTTGTGGACAAGAAGGACAGAGAACAATACTTTTTATAAAATGTAATAGTGGACGTTCTATAAAACGTTATTCATTTTACAATAGTGAAGAAGAAATTTTATTAATGCCTGGTTTTTACTTTGAAGTTCAAACAAATAATGATCTTGGAAATGGTCTTCATTTTATTCAAATAGTCGAAAAAGTACCGCCACATATTATGCTTCCAGTGCCTGAGAAAGCTGGTATTTTCATTGAAGCTATTTGTCGTAACAAAATATGTACACTCTTTAATCAACAGATACGAATCTCATTTGGATGCCGCTCTCTAAATGTATTAGTTGATCTTGATGAAACTAATTGTAAATGTCCATTATGTTCTGAATATGTAGAACCTGAAAAATATGGAGTAATAGATTGTTGGTGGCGCTGGTCAGCAAGAAAAAAGGAAACACCATCAAAACCACCTATAAATTGTTCAGAAGATTGGATGTATGAAGATGGTCCAACTTACTTTCAATCGAAAATTGATGAAAATTCGACAGCAATATGGCTAAAATTAGTTATTGAAGCGAAAGACAAGTCTTCACGATAGATTGAAAGACGAACGTTGCCAAGTATCAAGCACTTGAATAATATGAAAAAAGTTCGATAGGAATTCAATTTAGATCGAATAAAAATATAATTTTGGGTACTTCTTCCGATCAACGACACCGCGGCACCCACACTCTTTGATACTCCTTCCGCTCTCTTTGATGTGTGTTGTAAGTTTAACTAATACGATGAAGGTGTCGTCGATCTGAAGAAGAACTTAATTTTGTCGCCATTGAAAGATTTTCTGCTTCTTTTGTTTTTGTACTATTTTCACACAGAAGAAAGAAAGAACATACAAAGTTCGCTACATTTGTAGACAATAAGTTCATCGTCGATCTCTAATAGGACTTTCTTACAGAAAACAGTGAAAATACTAATTGACTCGAGAAATATTGATAAACTTTAGAAAGAAAGAGAACATTAAGATTAAGGTATGGGAAAAAAGTTCTCGACATTTTCTTATCGATCTTAATAGAAAAATTTCTAAGAACTTTTTTTTCATATAATATACTAAAAGATGCAGCGTGAAAAGCTCTACAAATTGCATAAGACTGCTTTTTTACAGTTGCACTTTTTGTTTTCAGAATCCTCAAAACTTCGAACGACCAAATTTCGACGCTGCGAAAAGATAACACGAACGAGAAGTTATCTTTTTTCTTATTTTATCTTTTCATTACCTGTATATATTGTCGAGTTTTCTACGCTGCATCTTGTGGTATATTTTTTTTTTACGAAAACATATTAGGAGATAAAATGATGAAATAAGAAAAAAAGAAATGTCGTTTCATGTTATCTTTTCGTAGCGTCAAAAATTGATCGCACAGAATTTTGTTTTTTTTTGTATACAAAAAGTAGACAATTAAAATAAGCTTTCCTTCGTGGATTGTAGAGCTTTTTACGCTGCATCTTTTGGTATATTTTGTTTTTTTTAAATAAAAGATTTCAGGTGGTAAAGAGGAAAAAAACGCATTGGCCGTGTATTGAACAAAGACTTTTTCGCAGCATCGAAATCTGGTGGCTCAGAATTTTTGTCGATTTTGAA